ACAGAAAGGTGGCTGTAGGCAGATACTAACTCAATTATTAAAACCAATTACATTGTAAAATCAATACAGTAGAAACCAGAGGTAATATTAATTTTGACATTTTCAATGGTAGATTAAGTTTAACAAGTTGGCTAATGAGAGCCCAGCTCATATGAAAATTTGCAATGTGTGGCTTAAAGCAAACTCCCTTTTGCCCAGCTGATCTTCCTTGTTCATCCCTAGAGACTGGAAAAGAGAAGGGTTGCTCCCTAGGAATCTTTTACATGCACTCCCTGTTCTAACGCATTAGTCAATCAAAAATCCAATAACCCATTGGGTTATTGAGCTGGAAGTAGAAATACTAAAATTCATATGGGGGATTTCCTTAAGCCATACACATTGCACATATTTATAAGAGCTGAGTTATCGTTGATTAGTCTCTGTTACATATTCAACTCTTTTTCTGGCCTTTGTATATGGAAACATTCATGTTTGTTGATGACTGTTAAGTTCATCATTTTTTAAAAAATATAAACTCCTTAAGGGCAGGGATCATCTTGACTTTGTATCATTCTTGGCACAGTGCTTAATAAATGTGTATTCCCTTATTCATACTTGGCCCCAGAGCAGAAACAATGAGTAGAAGTTACAAAGAGTTCAATCTAGGCTTGATATAAAGGAAAACTTAATAACAATTAGGACTACCCATAAGTGGAATGAGTTGCCTCTGGTAGTAATGGTTCCCCCTCACTAGAAATCTTCGAGTAGAGGCTAGATGACCATTTGTACACTTAGCCAAGGAGGGATTCTTTTTCAGGGGCCTCTCAGGTCCCTTCCAACAATGAAATTCTGGGTTACTCTGGGTGTAATGAATATGGAAAAGCCTCCATCAGTTATTCAATGAGCATTTAAGTGCTATTCACTCTCACTAAGGCAGCAACTTTTATTTCCCTACTATGTCCATTCTTCTAGATTCTTACCTATCCTCTTCCCTTCCCCTACCTCACCCAGAAGGAATTTACGGTTATATTGGGAATTTTTGCTGGATTTGTGAAAAATCTTCCAGTTCCTTCATTTTATTCTTCCTCTCAGGTTCAAACCTGGTTAAGCTCCAGAGAAGCCAAATAGCTCATCTCAGAAAAATGGAAAAGAACTTCCCTTTCTTCTCTCATCTATTATCTATATGGATGAGCATTGAGTGAAATACAACAATTTAAGGTTTTTTCTGGCCAGAAGTTTTTTTTAAATCATATTTAATGGCTTAAACATAAAAGTGAGCATTTAGAACACAGACAAAATCAAGAAGTTTAAAATAAGTCAAGAACTCCCAATGCATTTGGCATCCTGATTCCCAGCTCACATTTGAATAAGTGTAGTTCTTAGCTCATGCTCTGATAGTCCCATCATTCTTGTTCAGGAATCACCATTCATGCTGGTTTGACTGACAATTCCATTTAACAGCCACTTTCTCATGAAAAGTCTCACATCTTCTTGGTGTATTAGTTTCTCATTTCTTCCTCCCATGTCCCCAACATCAAGGGGGAATTTGGGAGCTTGGCAAGCCTGGCAGATCCAGATACTTGAATGTCTCCCAAGTCCTTCCTGTGAGTGGAGTCAGGCCACAGGAATAAGGTTGGTAATTCCTCTGAATACTGTCCTGGTCAGACCTCTTCTAGAATCTTTGTTTGGTTCTAGGCATAGGTATGAGGTTCTAGGTATAAGAAAGCCACTGATAGGATAGAGTATCCAGAAGATGGCAACCAAGATGGTGAAGGACTTTCAATGTATATCAAATGTAGAATGGTTGAAGGCCCTGGGTATGTTTATTCTGGAGAAGACTGAGGGAGGACATAATAGCTACATTCAAGTGAAAGGCTTTCATATCAAAGAGGGATTAGATTCGTTCTGTTTGGATCTGGAGGGCAGAACCAGGAGCAATGGACAGGCATTGCAAAAGGCACAAATTTAGGCTTAATGTCCAGGGGGAAAAAAAATCCTAACAATTAGAGCTGTCCATAAATGGAGTAAACTGTCTCAAAAGGTGTTTCCCCTACTTTGGAGGTCTTCAAACAGATCTGGGTGACCACTTTCAGGATATGTTGTACTGGGGACTAATTTTGTCCTGGATGGCTGCTGAGGTTTCTTCCAGTTCTCAAGTTCTATGATTCTGTGACTTGGGCTTCATTTTGGGGAGCAGATGTTTTGTGTGTGTGTGTATGGGTGTGTTTGAGTGTTACAACCTCTTCCATCAAGTCACAGCTGAACTCACAGAAGAACAAAGACATGGGTGGGTTTTGGGGAAAGGAGCAGAGGGGCCTCTAGGAATGAGATCCTAACATTTTTGATGGAAATGGGAGGGGAAGGGTAAGGTTTGTTAAATATGAAGGTTCTCTTCAAACCTCTAGCTTTCAAAAATCATAAACCTGAGGGCACATCAGTGGATGGGTCTCCTATTGGGGTTATCCATAGCTCCACTATCTCTGGAAACCCCAGATGGCAGATATGCTCCTATTCTCCCATGATTCAGGGTGTTTAGTGCCAGGCTCTGGCTTCATGCACATAGAAAGTCCAGGCCTAAGTCTTTATTCAGAAATTTAGGATTAAAGTGGCAGAAGAGAGTACTAATGAAGTCCTCACTTTAGTTGGGCATTGAGCTGGACAGAACGATCAAAATGCCCCATTCCCAGATAGTATACCATTCAACGCTGCCTCTCTACAAAGTGGCCATGTCCCCAAACCACCTCGTGTTTAACTCTCACTATCCTTAATTAAGCATAATTAACATCGTCTGAATGGGATTTCAAATCATGTAACAATTTCCCAGAAAGGTATTAAAGGATATAACTATTCCAGCCCCAGTTTCCCATACATGGCCTTTCGAAATCCCAAATTCCCTTCCCCTAAAATTTTATCAATAAGGCTCATTTGGACTGCCAGGAGGGATAAACTCTTCAGGGTGGTTCATCAGTCCTTCTGAAAGGAAAGTTCATCACACTGGCCAATAATACTAATAGATGAAATTGACATGATGCTTTTACATATTTCCTCATTTTAACATTATTGCCTAATGGGGTACTCTTATCATACTTATTTTACAGATGAAATTAAGTGACTTACTCATGGTCACACAGCTAGTAAATGACGTGATATTTGAACCCTCTACAATACATTGAAAGAATGCTAGTTTTGCAGTGTGGGGCAACACTGGGGAAAGCAGGATTCCATGGCAGGTCTTCAGGCAACTTGGGGACACAGAATTTCTGGAAGTTAGAATCCAGACATACCAAGACTGAAGTTCAATTAAATAACTACCATGACAAATCACCACTGCATCTGAGAATTCTTATGGGCCCATCCCTGTGACTGGCAGTTAGAGGGAGGGGGAGAGGGAGGGAAAAAGGGGTAATAATAACCACAGTTTAGTGGTAAGCCAGGCCTTAGAACAACTTCCCATCCTACTTTATCACCAAACTAAGAGAGCCATCCCCATTCCCTCCACTTCTAAGGTGCTTTTCTAAATTCAAATAATAAATCTTTCATTCTTCCTTCTCTTATTTCATTGTTTATTTTTAAATAATTCTAACTTGAAACATTAACAAAACCAATTAAAGACTTTGAGTATTTACAATTCAATACATTAATTTCAACATTTAAAACATCCGTAATAGTTTGTTATTCCACATCTGCATTAAATTGTCAAGTCATCTCTACATATTTATGTATATTCCCCTTCTTTCCTCTTATGTTGTAGTCAGCATGAATTTTGTGCTTCTGGTTTGCTTCATGTTATTTCATAAATTTAAAAAAATTTTTTTTTCATATTTCCATGGATCTCTGATCTCACTGGGGGAGGAGGAAAAGGTGCAGACTGCAATTCACTCATACTGTTTCACTTGGTGCTCCTATTCATGTCATTCCATAAATAAGGGGAGGGGCGACACAACATTCTGAAGAGGACTTCCTCTAGATCTCTTGACATTGTGTGAATATTAATGTATATTGCAATGTTTCTCATTAATCCAAACACGTTGTTGTATATACTTTCAAAGGATAAGATCCCATTAACTAAAAATGTATGAAGGAAGTCATTACAGGAGGGAGGTAAGAAGACCTCAAAAATGAAATTCTGAAGACACAAAAAGAAACTGCTGTTCAGGAAGAAAATGGGATGTTGTCTGAAGAGACTGGTGTGGATGCACAGGAAACTCACCACACAATTTTGCTCCTAAAAAGACACGTACGGAAGGTAAAAGGAAGGGAAGGTAATAGGATGAATAAAAAGCATGGTACAGAATCATAAGAATTGTGTCAGAAAAGCCAAAGTTCAAAATGACCTGAGGCTGGCAAGTTAAACTAAGGGCAAGAAAACATCTTTTATTTAGCTATATTGGGGGAAAGAAGAGGAACAAAGAAGGCATAAGGCTGATGCCTGGGCTAGATGGGATAACTGATGATAAATAAGGCAAAGCTAGTCAATTCTTACTCTGCTTCTATTTTTTTCTGCCTAATAACCTTTGGACTGGAGATGGCATATGAAAATAGATACTAAGAAGTTGACAAACCAAGGAAGAGAGATAAGAAGAGCATCTAGCAGTCCATGATCAGTTCAAGGCAACTGGCTCACATTATTAAGTACTGGAAGAACTGACATGTGTCTATTGAGTCACCTGTCAGTCACCTTTGAAAGATTCTGGAAAATGGGAGCAGTGCTATAGGATGTCAGCCATTAGTGGTTTGATATCAACTTAAGTCTACAGTGGAGGTCCCTGCCCCCTGGGTGTTGTGCATGGCCTTATACTGTTTAACATTTTTGTAGATGGCTTAGGCAAAAAGGCATAGTTAGTGTGCTTATCAAATGTACAGATGATATAAATCCAGGAGGGATAGCTAACACAACACATGATAGGATCTTAAAATATTGGACTGAATTTAATAAGATGATATTTAAAAGACAAGTACCAATGCAGTGGACAGAGTACCGGCCCTGGATTCAGGAGGACCTGAGTTCAAATCCAGCCTCAGACACATAACACTAGCTGCGTGACCCTGGGCAAGTCACTTAACCCCATTGCCTACCCCCCCTCCAAAAAAAAGACAAGTACCAAGCCTTGAGTTAAAAGAAATGGACTTCATGAGTACAAAATGAGGGAGGAATATTTAGACAGCAGTTTCTCTGAAAAATATCTGGGGATTTTAGTTGACTCAATGTGAGTCAACAGTGTGAGATAGCAGCCAAAAAGCTAATGAAAAGAAAGGCCTAGCTTTCAAGAATAAGGAGGCAATAGTCTTGTTATGCTCTGCCACAGTCAGACCACATCTAGAGTACTGTATTCAATTCTAGGTACCACAGTTTAAGAAAGACACTGATAATCTCGTGAGCAAAAAGAGGTCATCCAAGATGTCAAAGGGCTTTAAGTTCATGCCACATAAGGACTGATTGAAGCAAGGGTGGATATCTGACCCAGAGTAGAGTAGACTTAAGGAGCACACGACAGATATCTTCAAGTATTTCAAGGACTACGGAAGAGGTATTACACATGTTCTGTTGCTTGACCCCAGAAGGCAGAACTAGGAGCAGTGGCAGTTGCAAAAATGCAAATTTAGGCTTAATAAAAATTTAAAAATTCCTAACTACTAGAGCTATGACATGGTGGAATGGGCTGCCTCAGGAAGTAAGTGGGTTTTCCCTCTTTGGAAGTATCTAAGGAAATGATGGATGACCTTTTCAGGGTTGTTGAAATAGATGACTACTGATGCTCCTTTCAATTCTGAAATTCTGTAAGTCATTATCCCATTATATTGACATGTCAACATTCAGTCATTACCCAATTACTGGGTATTTCAGTTGTTTTCAGTTCTTTTGGGGGCGAGGGGGAAACAAAGCAACAAAAATGGTGATGAATTATTCGTTACATTCATAGGATTTCTCCCCAGTATGAATTCTCTGATGCACAGCAAGGGATGAGCTGTGGGTGAAGGCTTTTCCACATTCACTACATATATAGGGTTTTTCTCCAGTATGAATTCTTTGATGTTGGATGACACTCCCTTGCCGACTGAAGGTTTTTCCACATTCATCACACTTATAGGGTTTGTCTACAGTATGAACTATCTGATGTTGAATAAGACCTGCAGACTGGTTGAAGGCCTTACCACAGTCATTACATTTATAAGGTTTTTCCCCAGTATGAATTCTCTGGTGTCGAGTAAGGTACAGTCCCTGGCTGAAAGCTTTTCCACATTCAAAACATTTATAGGGTTTATCTCCACTATGAATTCTCTGATGGAGAGCAAGGGAAGAGCTATTTTGGAAGGCTCTATTACACATATTACATTTATAGCATTTCTCTCCAGTATGGACTCTCTGATGTCGAGTAAGGTACATACTACGACTAAAGGATTTTCCACATTCACTACATGTATACGGTTTCTCTCCAGTATGAATTTTCCGATGTTCAGTGAGGTTTCCTGGATGACGGAAGGCTTGCCCACATTCACTACATTTATATGGTTTTTCTCCAGTATGAATTCGTTGATGCAGAGTAAGGAATGAGCTATTAATGAAGGCTTTGCCACATTCGCTGCATTTAAAAGGCTTCTCTCCAGTATGAATTCTGTGATGTAAAGTAAGCTGTGAACTATTACTGAAGGCTTTGCCACATTCATTACATTTATAGAGTTTCTCCCCAGTATGAGTCCTCCGATGTTCAGTAAGGTGCCCCCTCTGTCGAAAGCTTTTCCCACATTCATTACATTTATAGGGTTTCTCTCCATTATGAATTTTCTGGTGTTCTGTAAGGTGGCCCCTCCGACTGAAAGTTTTCTCACAGACACTACATTTATAGGGTTTCTCTCCAGTATGAATTCTCTTATGGAGAACAAGGCCTGTGCACTTGCTGAAGGCTTTCCCACATTCAAGACATTCATAAGGTTTTTCTCCAGTATGAATTCTATGATGTACGATAAAAGTTGAGCTGTTGCTAAAGGCCTTTCCACATTCATTACATTTGTATGGTTTCTCTCCAGTATGAATTCTCTGATGCTGATTAAAGTACATAATTTGGCTAAAGGCTTTTCCACATTCACTACATTTGTACGGTTTCTCTCTATTATGAATTTTCTGATGTTCAGTAAGGTGTCCTCTCTGACTGAAGGCCTTTTCACATATATCACACTTATAGGGTCTCTCTCCAGTATGAATTCTCTGATGTACAATAAGAGATGAACTATTGCTGAAGGCTTTTCCACATTCACTACATTTATAGGGTCTCTCTCCAGTATGAATTCTCTGATGCCGAGTAAGGTACATAATCTGGCTAAAGGCTTTTCCACATTCATTACATTGATAGGGTCTCTCTCCAGTGTGAGTTCTCTGATGTCGAGTAAGGTACAGTATCTGGCTGAAGGCTTTTCCACATTCACTACATTGATAGGGCCTGTCTCCAGTATGAATTTTCTGATGCCGAGCAAGGTACATAATCTGACTGAAGGCTTTTCCACATTCACTACATTTATAGGGTCTCTCCCTAGTATGGATTCTCTGATGTCTAGTAAGGTACATACTTCGGCTAAAAGTTTTCCCACATTCAAGACATTCATAAGGTTTCTCTCCAGTATGAATTCTCTGATGCAAAATAAGGGATGTGCTATTACTGAAGGATTTTTCACATTCAGTGCATTTATATGGTTTCTCTCCAGCAGGAATTCTCTTATATTGAGTAAGGTGTCGCTTTTGGTGGAAAGTTTTCCCAAATTCATTATATGTATAGGATTTCTCTCCAGTAGGGATTCTATGATAGCGAATAAGGTCTGAGTGGTAACAGAAGGTTTTACTATATTCATTATTCTTCCAAAGTTTCCTCCCTGAGGAGATTCTATTATGTTTAACTAGATCTGAATACTGTTTGAAGGTATTTCCATATGTATCATATTTATGGATCATCTTTTCTGTAGAACTACTCCACTGTACAACAGAAATTGACCTGTGACTAGAATTTCTCCTAAATTTGTCATATTCATGATTTCTTATCTTATTGGAATTGTTCTTGTGAGTGATTATTTGCTTTAGCTCTCTTCCCTGGTTGATTTGTGGCCTCTTGAACCTGGCATCACCTCTGGAGTTCTCTTCAAGTTTAAAGTCCCAAGAATCATCCCTCATGAGTCTTTCCTGGGATAATTCTTCCATATAAATGCTCTCCATTGGAACTGTCTGCCTGGTTTCTGGCCAATCTGAAAGAAAAAAGAATATAAATGAACTAGTTCATTCAAGGAGCATTTATTAAATGCCTGCTATGTGTCAGGAACCGCACTAGGCACTGGGCACACAAGTTAAAAAACAAAATGGTCCCTTAAGGTGTTTCTATTCTATTTGGGGAGGACAATATGCACACATATATGTACATGCATACATTTTATATATATAAAGTAAATAAGAAATAATTTTTTGGAGAAGTGGATGCTGACTACCAAAGGCAATCTCAAACTGATCTTGGAAGGGAGCTGGGTAGCTGGTGGTTGTTTTATGACACAAACATGGTGCTGAAGGTGGTTGATTGGTTGCTGTCTTTTGTTCTCGAAGAGAACCAAAATGACGTCACTATGTCAGGCTCCAATTACAGTGCATCCTACTGTGGCTGACACAATACAAGCTCAGGATGCTCTACCACAGGTTGGGCACAAGTAGTCCATGTGAACATTTGGGGTAGATTCTCTAGATCTGCACATCTTGCATTTCTTTTGAGCTCCTTCAATTCTGCTTTCCTCATAGGGCACAGCACCTTCTCTGGTGAGGCAGGCCATGCTGAGTGTCCTGTGCCAGGGTCTCTGATGTTACACAATCAATTCCAAAGTTCTTAAGAGAAATCTTGAGGTCATCCTTTTTGCTTTTTCTGACCACTGTGTGAGTGCTGGTCTTGTGTGAGTTCTCCATAGAACAGTCTTTTAAGCAAGCATACACTTGGCATTCAAAGAACATGGATAGCCCATTGGAGTTGTGCTCTACACAAGCTATATGAGGCAAAAGTAAATTGTCAACAAGTATTCATTAGTCACCTCGATGTGATGGATACTATGCTAAGTATGGGAGACACAAAGAAAAGTAAAAAACAGCTCTTACTCTCAAAAAGCTCACAGCCTAATAGGGAGACAACATGCAAACAATTATATATACCAAGTTATATACAGAATAAATTGGAGCTAATCAACAGAGGGAAGGCACTAGAATTAAGAGAGAATCAAGAAAGTCTTATATAATATTAGATTTTAGCTGGGGACCTGAAAGAAGCCAGGGAAATTAGAAGGCAAAGGCGAGAGGTGGGATGGGGAAGAATCATAGGCACAGAAGTTATCTAATGAAAATGCCTGGAGTGGGGAGTCGGGACATTGTGTGCAGGGAACAGCAAAGAGGCCAGTATAACTGGATCACAGAGTAGGTAAAAGGGAATAAGGTATAAGAAGATCAGAAAGGTAAGAAGGGGATAAGATCATGAAGGGCATTAAAGCAAAACAGGGTTTTATAATTGATCCTAGAGGTAAAAGGGAGTCACTAGAGTTGACTGAATGAGTGTGGTGGTGACATGGTCAGACCTGCACTTTAGGAAGATCAATTTGACAGCTGAGTTGAAGATGGAGAGATACTTGAAGCAAGTACATCCACCAGAACTTTCTTGCAATAGTTCAGGTATGAGGTCCTGAACTAATGCCATAGAAATGTCAAAAGATCAAAGGGGGCATGTGTGGGAGGTATTAAGAAGGCAGAATCAGTAAGATTTTGCAAGAGTTTGTCCACAGGGGTGACAGAGAACGATGAGTTGAGGATGACGTGTAGGTGGATGAGCCTGGGTGACTAGAAGGATACTGGCATCCTCAATAGTAATATGAAAAGTTAGAAAGAAAGGAGGGCTTAGGAGGCAATCATCAATAAATATCTATTAAGCAGTTCAAGACGTTTAATAGGTAGTTAGAAACGCAAGAACTGCGTTAGGAGAAAGGTTAGGGTTAGACAAGAAGATCTGAGAATCATAAAGATAATAACTGAATCCATGGAAACTGATGAGCTCACTAAACAAAATAATAAAGGAAAAAAGAAGAAGGCCAAGGATAGAGCCTTGGGGGATACTCAAGGTAAGCGAGTACGACCTGGCAAAGGAAGATAAGAAATGGTCAGATAGGTAGGAGGAAAACTGAGAAGAGGGTCATGAAACCTAGAGAAAAATTAATATCCAGGAAAAGAGTATGATTTATGACAACAAAAGCTTCAGAGACAGCAAGAAAAATAAGGTCTGAGTGAAGGCCATTAGATTTGTTGATGAAGAGATTTTGAAGGTAGCAGTTTCAGTTGAATGAGTTCAAAAGCCACAGTGCAGAGAGCTCAAAACAGAGTAAGAGGAAAAGAAGTGGAACAGATGAACTTCTCAAGGAGTTTAGCCATGAAAAGGAAAGATACAGGATAATAGCTAGCATGGATGGATCAAGTGAAGGCTTTTTGAACATAGGGGAGACATGGTTATGCTTACAGGTGGTAGGGAAAGATTAAAGGTTAATAAGAGAGTAGCAGAGGCTAGGTGGAGCAGTGGATAGAGTGCCAGGAGTGGCACTCATCTTTCTGAGTTCAAATCCGGCCTCAGACACTTACTAACTATATGCCCCTGGGCAAGTCACTTAGCCCTGTTTGCCTCAATTTCCTCAACTGTAAAATGAACTGAAAAAGGAAATGACAAACCACTCCAGTATCTCTGCCAAGAAAACCTTGAATGGGATCACAAAGAGTTGGACACAACTGAAAAATGACTGAACAACAAGGAATGATAAAAGGGGACAATCGGCTGGAAAGATGGGATGGAATGGGATTACCTGTGCATGTAAAGGGATATTATCAACAAGGAAAAGCATCATGTCTTTGTGTAGCACAGGAGTGAAGGAGGGGATAGCAGTGAGAGGCACCTGCGTAATGTGAAATGAGGGAGAGGAGAAAAGAGGGCAGTCTTGGTGAATGGCCTCAATCTTTTCAGTGAAATAAAATAAGGCAAGGTTCTCAAATGAGAGGATGGGAGGAGAAAGAGCCACAGGAGGATGAAGAAGAATGAAAAGGAGAGCACACAGGAGATGGCCAGTGAAAAGGGACAGAGATCGACAATGGAACACCACGTATGAGGAACAGTAAGTAGGCTGGCCAGGCAAGAAGTCAGAAGGCAGGAAACAATCAGAATGCTTTTATGAAATGCCTGCTATGAATAGGGCACCCTATGAGGCACTGGGGATGCTAAGAAAAACAGAAAAAAGACCTTACTGTCAAGACAGTTACAGTCTTGGAGAAAGAATATATAAATAAATATAATTTAAATGGCTCCAATAGCTAGGGGGATGAGGCTGGTCAGGAAAGGCTTCAAGTAAGAAATAACATGAGTGAGGCACCGAGGTGATGCAGGAGATAGAGCTCTGGCCTTGGAATCAGGAGGATCTGAGCTCAAATCCAGCCTCAGACACTTGACATTTACTAGCTGTGTGACCCCGGGCAAGTCATTTAAGCCCAATTGCCTCACTAAAAAGCAAAAAAAACCCAAACAAACAAACCATGAGCTAAACTTTTAAGGGAGCTAGTGATTCTAAAAGGAATATATTCCAGACACGGAGCTAGGAAATGCAAAATGATTTGTGAGGAACCGCACATTTGGCAGGAACACACGGGATGTGAAGGAAAGAAGCAAGTAAGTGCCTGTTACGTGCTAAGTGCTTTAAAATAGTATGTGTAATAAGCCTGGAAAGGAAGGCTGGAGTCACATATGTAAGGAATTTAAATGTCAGAGTTGAGATTGGGAGGAGGGGTAATGCCAACACTGAAAAGGGATCAAGAAAAACGAGGACTGAGAAGTCACCAGATTTGAAATGTAAAAAATCATTGATAATCTTATAGAGTGAACAGTTTCAATAAATGTTTTCTCTACTGGAAAAAAAAAAGGAAAACTATTGTACAGTAAGTCTGCATCATTTATCATGAAAATGTTTCCAAGGACCACTTAAGAAAAATGAAAAAAGTATCTTACTATTCCCCACTTTCCTGGTTTCTCAATGTTTCTCTCTTCCAGCACACCATGGTCATGAATGGAACGGGGAGGGATCCGTGGCTGCTAGCAGAAGGAAAAGCAGCAATTGCCCCTTATTTGGAAGCAAAGTTGGGAGAGTCATCCTAGAATGTGGAGTCCTACTATCCAAGGACTCTGTCTTTGCTTACATTTCTGAACCATACTCTGCTGCCTTATGGAGAATGGTAGTATTATGTACATGTTAGGTAATTCAGAGTGCCTCACACGTGCACAATGGAATAGTGACAGACAAATAGAAGGACACACACCAAAGATTTATTCAGTTCCAATGATGAAGTCACAAAAGGACAGCGATTAAGGACAGTGTTATCAGCAGGGTAAGAGGGCGTGAAAGGTTGCTGGGGGAATAGAATAAGTAGAGTAGAAGGCACATGGATTGGCAGAAATGACAGGCAAGAATCAAAAACTGAGGCAGTCTAGGCTTAGAATCTCTATCATTTCACAACTGTATTATTAGAATATTCTCTCCTTACAACCTTTCTATACATATATCGTTCTCCCTATAAAGCCTCCCCTAAAGGCTTTCAGTGATAGGAAGGATTGAAACTTACCATTTCAGTACTCCAATACGCCATCATGGTGTGGACACCTGGGTTCTTGACAGCTGTGCTGAACAGAGCACAGGCTCTGGCAGATGTTAACAAGCTGAGTGTGGGCCCTGTCACAGACTGCTTT